GCAAATGCTCAGGTAAAATGGCATTTTCTATACTGTGGGTTGTTCTCTGCTATTGTTTTTGAGTTGTGTCAGTGAAATAATATGAAAGCATGTGTCTCATTCTTTACTTGGAAATGGGCTCAAAAGCACTAAGTTGGATTCATGTGTGTAAGAAACAATGGTTGAAATCCTGTTGCACAGCTCTGCAACACAAGAGGAATGATTGCTGCTGATTAAAGGTTTCCTTCTGCAATTTCAGGCTGTGTAAAGCTCATACATAGTGTGATGAAGTCACATACATCATGCAGTCACAAAAGCAGCATCAGCAGCAGTGTGCTGTTGCAATGATGTCATTTCTGTTGTGTAGGTAGACAGAATCCAACAGGATATCAGCCAATAATGCTGTTTGTACGATCATTGTCCTGCATAAAAAGACTTTTGCTCCAAGCTCAGTTTGCCAGCAGCCTGGAATCTTACTTTAATGAAGAATATACCCTAATTCCTTTGTGTGAGATGGTTGGGTGTTCCTCCTTCATAGTGTTGCCAAGTATTAAGTATGTTCCTGAATCTAAAACCATATCTGAAGTCTGGTAAAGCCTGCTAATTTTTAAAACCTCAGCTGTATGTGTGACCGAAAAGAAATCTAGTTTTTGTTTTGCTAAGATTTATTCATTCTGTGTATGTGTATAGATTAACATGAAATACTTTTCTCTTGTTTTAGCAACTACAAAATCCAGAAGTCAGATTTCAGCAACAACTGGAGCAGCTCAGTGCAATGGGCTTCTTGAACCGTGAAGCAAACCTACAAGCTCTAATAGCAACAGGAGGTGATATCAATGCAGCCATTGAAAGGCTACTGGGTTCCCAGCCATCATAGCAACATTTCTGAAACTTGAAAAATGTAATTTATTTTTGATAACAGCTCTTAAATCTTTAAAATACCAGCTTTATTTCATTCTGACTCTTGGGAATTGTCTTGTTCTAACTAAACCCAGTCTGATGCATTAAGGTGGAGTGCAGTAGTTTTCTTCAAACAGTGGGAATCATTGCTTTTCACTTGGTTGTTGCATGCATCAAACACTTCCTCATTTTGCATTTATTGTGATTTTTTTAAAAATAAAATCTGCTTCTACAGTTGGGTGACCAGGTTTTATCTGACCTTCAACTGCCCAGTTTAGTTGCTTCTTAAACATTAGCCTTGATAGTAATTTATGTAGAATACAAATTGAAGAGGAAACTAATTGAAGCTATGATTTGTGGGTACATATTGCTTATTGTGACTTGGCATGTCTCTCTTGCTAGTGAAATGCTGTAAGATTTATACCACTTGATTTAGCTACTATTCTTGCTTGTTAACCTCTATAAAATAAATACATATGGAAACAATTCTTTTCCAAGCAACTTTTTCATTGCCGTAGTATAAAACATCTCAAAGCCAGAATATATAAAATACTTCCAGTGTAGTAGAATCTTACAGCATCTTTAGCAAGCATCTCTTAGCAGAAGTGCTTTGGCAAATTCTTTTAATGTACAAGGATTGCTGACCTGATCTTGACAACTGTACAGAAACCTGTATTGTAACATTGTCTCAATATACACAAGGATTGATTGTAAATTACCTTTATCTTTGTGCCGATTGAAGGAGCATAACTCTTTGCTCTAAAACTGCTTTTGCCTAAAGCTCTTTGGCTTTATCCCCTTGAGATTCTAACTTGCATTATGATTTGTAATTGGACGCATACTTTCACTGACACTGTCATGTGATATTCTAATTACTTTTAACCACCATGTAAAAATACTGTATATCTTTTGGGTTTTTATTGGTAGTTATTTCTCTTGTGCACAGGTAATAAATGAATTAAACTTCTTTGTGAGCAGCTAGCGTCCAACTCATTTCTGTCCTGATGGCAGTCACATCAGTATACTTAAAGCTGAGAAATTCTTAGTCCAACTTGCTCCTAAAAGTAGCTTTCATGAAGGACTCTATATGTGCGAATTAAACCATGACTGAAGTTTTTGCAACAAAGCTCACATCCCTTCTAGCTGAAATCTCCCTTTTGTTTTCTCAAGACTATTTGGGATTACTATTGTTGGCAGTCCATAATAGATATTTCCTACATTTTGTACAGCCATTTTTAATCTTAGCGTGTTTTCTTTTGAAATTTTTAAAACATAGTTTCTATATAAAAGGAAAAGAAGCAGACAATCTGTGCCTAAATGTTGCCTTTGCACAGGTCTCAGGGCTAGAATCAAAGTATAAAACGTAAACATATGAGGTATCAGTAGTTGGGAAAGAGGATGATTGGAGAAGGCACTGAGCCCAGTTTACCCAATTTTCAGATGCCGCCCCTTTCTTTCTTGTCTAGTTTCTCCACAGTTCAGCAAGTAGTTGGATTAAATATCAATTTCCATGAAGATTTCTTACCAGAAGTATACCAGGATTTTAACATGTGCTTTGGGTGTCTCTTCAAAATATACATTGACTATTATATAGATCTTCTGGTGAACCAACATTGTGATCACAGCATTTGACACTTCTGATTTTTTTTCAGAAGGTGTTTTCTAGAAGCCTTGAATTGCTCTTAATATTCCATTGAGTTCCAAAAAGGAACTGGGCATCTGCCTTAATTGAATCTGTTATTAATTATGATCTGCAAAGTAATGGAGGAGAAGAACTTGTGGGTGTCAAGATGCAGCACTACAATTCCCCTCATGCCTTACCATTCACCAGGTGGCTAAGGCTAGTTAATATTTAAGTTCAAAGTAATCTGAAGGATCAAAGGTTCCTGGCTTGGAACGCAAATCATGTTTGCTATGTATGTATCATGTGCAGTCAAGTCATATCTAAGGTAACAACCATAGTAGGGTTTTCAAGGTGAGATACAGTATTTATGGAGTGGCTTTTACTTAGTGCCATCTTTCCAGTGAGTTTCCATGGTCCTGTGGGATTCAAACCCTCTTGAGTCTTACTTCATCACTCTATTCACTAAGTCACACTGGGTGCCAGACACTTGTTTTAGATATGCTTTAGATATAAAAAGTATTATGCTTTAGTTCTGATAAATCAATGAGATGTTCAAAAAAAGTAAGCATAGGTAATTTATTTTTAGGCTACAGAGCTATATTAAGGCACAAGAAATAGGAAATGTTACATTAGAGCACACACTAGTAGTCATACCTCCAGAGGGCACCCTTTATTTGAATGATGGTGAATGTCTACAGTACTTGGAAAATGTCTCAAGTAACTGGATTTTTGAAGATGTTCTTTCTCGGGTCCTCTAAGGAAGGGAAAGGTAAGGCTAATGTACTTTGAAAGTAACTATGTGGTTTGTTTCATTTGTAGCACAGCAAACTGCTGTGCACTTTAAGAAGGAAGTGTATGGTAACTGTCAAGTGAGAACGTGGTGCATGTGGAAAGTCTGTTTTTGTACATAAGAGCTGTACAACTGGCTGGTAATTGGATTTTGTGACTCAGAATAACTCATTCTGATGCCAGTGCTTACTGGGGATTTTACTGGGATTTTTATTGGTAGTTTGAGGTCAGCACCGCAGGAGCAATGGATAATTCATTTGGGAACAGAGGAGAATTTGGTGGCAAATTAGAAATTGGCTTTTCTGATGGAATTACTACATGTTTTCTCTCCTTTTACGGTACACCTGAATGACTCCAAATAGCTATTTCTTAACAAAGGTTTTGACTTAATGAAGAGGAAGGCAAGTGTCAATTATTTTCTATCATCTGCAATTAATGGGGATTAAAACTATAGTTCTAGATTGGTGAATCTAAATACTGAATTTCTGTTAGAGTCTGATTTGGCTCAAGGAATACAATACTGCTTTCTCCCTTTTAGTTGCATCCATGTAGCCTGCAACACTTAAAACTTCTCAGTTGGTATTTTCAGTATTTTGTATTTCATTTTACAAGAGTAGCAAAATGATGAGTTTACACCTATTATAGGCTAAATGTGTCATACGGGCAACACAGATATTTTGACTTGTGCTGTTTCTTTGCAGATGCAATGTTTGGCTTTTGCTGGAGTGCTTGGATGAGGTGAAGCACTGAGAAACCATTAGATACACTCTGCTACTCCACTGCTAAACCCCCAAATCCAGTCCTGTCCCTCAGTTTCTTCCACTCACAACAGACATCCACTCATAAGAATAAAGTACTGCAATGCTCTCTACATGGGGTTTCCTTTGAGGCTGATGCGGAAGCTCCAGATGGTCCAGAACACGGCGGCCAGGCTATTAACAGGGGTGAAAAGATTTAATCAGATTTCCCTCACCTTGACAGCCTTACACTGGCTACCTGTCTGCTTCCGCATTGATTTCAAGGTATTAACCATTACATATAAAGCCCTTAACGGTTTAGGTTAGAACCTCTATACCTGGCAGAGCGCCTTCTTCCGCCCAGTTCTACCCGTATCACCCACTCTAGTCGGGCTGGGTGGCGGGGGGGGCAACGCCAAGAGAGGCCCGGTGGGAAAAAAACAAAAATCGGGCCTTCTCGGTAGTGGCCCCTTGCCTTTAGAACAACTTACCTGTTGAGATCCGCCCGGCTCCCTCACTGAGGGTCTTCAAGACTAACTTGAAGACATGGCTATACAGGCAGGCCTTCCCTACAGCCATTACCTAGCCTATCTCCCCTTTTTCTTTTTTCTCCTCCTTCCCCCCCTTTTTTTCCTTTCCCATCTTGGATTAATCTGGATTTTATCTTAGTTTATTTTTATATTATATATAAACCACCCAGAGTAGACCCATTCTAGATGGGTGGCATATAAATCTAATCAATAAATAATTCCTCCCTGCATAAGGCTTCGAACAGTTGTAGTTTGCGATGGGCACAAGGATACAATGGGTGAGCAGAACGTTTTTGTTCTGTGATGCTGTTCTCAGCCAAAAAAAAAATATGCAGAGGTGATGCACAACTGACAGTTCTCAAAGTCGGTGGATTTTCATAGGCCATGAAATTAATGAGTAACACTACACTGCTTGTTCAGAAGAAGAAACAAGACCAAATATTGCTTGAAATTATTGTATAATTCAGGAACCAACCTGGAGGAAATATCAATACATGTTTCTAATAAATTCTTCAATTTCAGCTACTATTTCTGAAACAGGCTTTTCCAAACTGATAGTAAGAAAATTTTCTGGCGGTGAGGGAGGTTCAAGAGTATCAAACTGAGACTGCAGCAGAGCTGCAGGCATAAAATGGCCCTTTCGTTTTTCTAGACGTTTTGCAATTAAGTCCGCAGGTCCATCTAAGTGGATGAAAAGGATCTTCAGAGGTGCAGGCCTGTCTTCCTCCCGCCGATGAGTCACACTTCGAAAATCAGACTCTCTGGTCTCCAAAATGCATCTGTACATTCTTTTCAGCGCTGAGCAGGCTAAAATTGCATTTTGTCCTGATTCGTGGTCCCTACCAAAAGGAGGGGGGGAAGTCAGTATCTATACACTTCTGTAGGATACTATATGTATTGTTTTAATTTACTGGGAACTATTAATTGGGCTAAGGACTGTAATAAAAATATGTATATGTGTGTAACTTACTGGGAACTGGCTTGTTTGTGTTAGTGGACTTGCTATATACTGTATAGGCTTTGGTCTTTCTGATTCCTACCATGTTGAAATGCAGATAAATCTCTTAAAACTCAGTAAAGCAGTTATGCTGTAACCTAAATACAGTTCTCCACTGCAAAAAATCTTGAAATGGATGGCCATGTGATTCTGCCATCTGTATTCTCAACTGGTACATACTCACAAGGAAGGCTTTTGATTCCTCTGCACTGTAGTCATGTGTTTATTGTTGATGTGATAGGTTATGGCATAGCTAAAACTTGTGCCTGCTGCTTTTCTAGTAATATGCTTTCACTACCAGGAAATTTGTGTGTATTGGGGCTTTCCCTCCTTAAATGAGGGTGTGCCAGGACCTGGGCCATTTTCCCTAAGAGGCAGAGCTGAGGCTGAAGGTTTGCCTGCATGGGCATTTTGCTGAGGAGTATGTTTTTGCTGGGATTTCTTTTGTTTCCCACGCCCCCACCGCATGGCCTAGGAGGTGAGGCTTTCCCTCCTCAAATTCTCTGACTCTATCTCTGACGCTAATCTGGTAAATAGGAAAGCCAATTAGCACTGCATACACCTGGGAGGCAGGAAAGTTTTAGGGGTATCATAGTATCATACTTCCGCACTATTAGACAGCAGGCCGGGTAGGTGGGCCTTGTCAGCTGTGGAAGGCAGCCCACCTAGGAGGCGGAAAACTCCAAACCTCCACTGCCTTGTGGCTATATCCACTGATAGAAAAGGCTTCAGGCGCTAACCTAGAGGCAGAATCCGGAGCTGGAGTCCCGAAGGCAGTTCGTGTCGTTCTGCCAACTGTGACATTGCTGGAACCAGTTGTATTGGCTCTTGCCTTTCCATTGGACCATTTCAGCAACATGGAGAGGGGGGATTTGCTGCTTGGGTAACAGCCTATCCTCCATACTACTTTACCCAGGCTTCATACTCTGGAGAAGACACTTTTTGATACAGAGCATGTTACCATAGTCTCTCGAGACTGGAGGATGGCTATGATGATGATCATACTCTGGAGAAGACACTTTTCGATACAGAGCATGTTACCATAGTCTCTCGAGACTGGAGGATGGCTATGATGATGATGAAAAGCAAAATACTTCAGCTAGTGTTAATTATTAAAAAATATGCATGACAACTGGGTTGGAGGGGCTATGTGAGGTCGACTAAGATCTGATAATTGGAAATCCTGCTCGACTTCCCACACCCAGCTGATATTTAACCATCTGTTGCTGACACATTTTATGCCTCTTTCCCTCTTTAAAACAAAACTTGAGTTTACAAGAAAAATGATTTCCATACTGAGTAGTTCTTTGGGCACCTGTGTATTGTATTCACAACAACTGTACATGACTGGCTTCAAGTTCTTTTAATGTGAGTTGTCCATCCTCTTACCTCCTTAATATATCATGGAGGCAGCAAAGCCATGGGATCCTGTCCTAAAAAAGAAGACAGACAGACTTAAGCATGTAGTGCAATAACTCAACATTTGCTTGCCAATACCTATTCTTTAGTCTTTGCTCCAAGTACATCATAGCATCTTTTCCTAGCACAAGTCATCTTTATCACAGTCATTTGTTTGGATACAAGCACTGAGGGAAACACTGCCTGCCTCTCCCTTTGGCTCTGAAGAGGATGGCAAATTCAATCAAAATGATTGATCAGCTTCCAAGTGTAATCCAATTGCCTGCAGATTTCTTTATAATTGCTTATCATTAAAGCTTCACCTTTCCATCTAGATCATGTTAGACAATTCTAATAAATAACAGCTTGGAAAACTGCTAGATTGGGAAGAAGTCAGGTTATCCAGTCTTCAAAGCACTGTTTCATGAAACGGCTGCAAATCTGCTTCACAAGTTCAATCAGAAAAACCATCATATGTTGCATCTACTGGAACAAACGTTCTAATGCAATGTTGCCAGATATGTCCTGGCAAGAGGAGAAAGCAGACTTCTGAAACAATTCATGCCTGCATTCATTCCATCCAGGGATGTTTTTATTGTGACAGGGATGTCTCAACACCCCCAATTGTTTTCTTTGACTTTAAAAGTCCCCTAGTGCTCATTAGGGAGGATGGCGGCAACGTGAAGATGCTTTTGGGCACCTGGACCTGTTTTAGGCTCAGGGAAGCTTTTTTTTTCTTTTTTCAAAACTAGAAGTGATTTCTGGTCATATTCTGTTTTTGAAATAAGCCCCTCTCCCAGGCCCGGAATGTATGCCTGGAAATATAGTGAGATTTGCCCCAGACATCATCATGAGTGCAAAGGGCCTTGAAGACAAAGCAGAAATATTTTCAGTGGTGGTGGTGGTGGAGGGGTGGCCTTCTATGATCTAGAAGGGCATGCACAGTCCCTGGACTTCAGGACGTTCCTCATCCCTAGAATCTGACCAATTACTGTTTAGTTTTGCTACTATACTTTATGAAATTAATTATAATTAAGTGAATTTTATCAACCCAAATCTATCTTGTTGACTATATTTTCTGTTCTACTTGCCTAATTGTTATTGTTTAACTGTCACTTTGCATTTTATGTCACTTTATAAATTGGAGATTGAAGTCCTGTCACCCCGTGAAGGCAAACTGAATAAAATACAAGTTATTACGGGCAGAGGCAGGTATGGCGTTGGCATTGTAGCAATTAAACCTAAAAGAAAGAGGGGACAGATGTTTGGAGGCTGCCCCTTGTTCTAGCTCTGTCTCCAGTGGCCAGACTTGAGGCCACTCAGCCAACCTTCCATTCTATCCTTGATGTTGTTAAACACCAGGTCTGCCTTGAATAATGCCCTACTTATTCAAGACTTGATCTTGGACAAAGTGGCAGATCTGGCCTGTATTACTGAGACCTGGGTCAGTCTATAGGGTGGTGTAGCCCTCTCATTAATTTTCCCACACTGATATTCCCTCCGACATCAAGGTAGACTGGAGGGTCAGGGAGGGGGAGTTGCCATTATTTATAAAAACACCTTAGAGGTTGTCAAGCTCTCTACCTTGATGATTGCAGGCCTAAAGGCCCTCCACGTGTTGGTGGGGGCTAGGGATGGATTTGAGATGGTGTTAGTCTACCATGCTCCACATGATCCAGCACTCTCCGGAGCTGGTGGGCTTCGTCTCGGCAACAGCATTGAGGTCCCCCAGGCTCCTTGTCCTGGAGGATTTCAACATCCATACTGAGATTGGGGCTACAGGTCTAGCTCTTGGATTCTTGGAAACCATGGCTTCCTTGGACATGTCCAATTCGTTAACAGCCCCACCCACATGGTGGGCCACATGCAAGACCTGGTGTTCTCAACTGAACAGGGATTGAGTGATCCAAGAGTTACCAGCCTCGTGTCAGTCCCCTTTTCATGGTCGGACCACCGCCTGATAAAATGCAACTTCTCAGTGGCACTTCCCTTCACGGGGAGCATTGACCTATTAAGATGGTTTGCCCCCGTAGGCTATTGGATCCAATTGTTTTCCAAGATGCAATGTCAGCTGATCCAGTGGCGCCTCCTGTCAATATTCTGGTGGATGAGTAGTATGCCACCATCACCAGGGCAGCTGACGCGGTTGCTCCCAAATGCCCCCTCCATTGCCAAGCACATCTGGCTTCTTGGTTTAACCATTACGGGCATTGAAACAAAACAGGAGGAGGCTAGAGAACATTTGGAGATGGGCCCCAATGGAATCCAGTTTAACAGCTGCAAAAATTGTGTCTAATATCTATTTAGCTAAAGTGAAGAACATAAGAAGATCCTACTTTGCCTCCCAGATAAACGAAGCTCAAGACCATCAGGCCAAACATTTTCGTATTGTACATGATTTATCCGGGATTGGTCATGGACAGGCCTCCCAGTAATATCTCCTATGACCAATTTGCAGCCTTCTTTAAACATAAAGTGGAGGCCACCTGCCGGGAACTGGATCTTGCCTCTTTAGCAGTAGATCAAGCCCAGACATCCACAGCACCATCTTGCCTGGTGTGTTTAACAGTTTCAGCCTGTGACACCAGTTGAGGTTGACAGAGTGCTTGATCACTGTAGGGCCACCACATCTTCCCTAGATCCTTTCCCAATCTGGCTCTTGAAAGCGGCCAGACCTTTAACAACCGAGTGGGCTATGGCTATAATTAATGGGCTTTTCCTGGAAGGCAGAGTCCCTCTTACCCTCAAGTAGATGCTCATTAAGCTGATTCATAAAAAGATAACTTGGTGGCAGACAATATTAACAACAACTATAGACCTGTCACCAATGTCCCTTTTATCAGTAAGCTAGGGGAGAGAGTGGTGGCTGACCAATTTCAGGCACTTCTGGAGTAAACCAGTGCCCTCGATCCGTTCCAGTCAGGGTTCAGGCCGCACCATGGCATGGAGACGGCATTGGTTGCCCTGCAAGATGACCTTTTGAGGGAGGCTGATAAGGGCAAAATGTCACATATGGTCCTCCTCGACCTATCAGCAGCCTTTGATACTGTCGACCACAGTATCCTCCTGGGGAGGCTCTCTGGGTTGAGGATTGGAGGCCTGGCCTTGGCCTGACTCTGGTCCTTCCAAGAGGACCATCCTCAGAAGGTACAGCTTGGGGAGATGCTATCTGCTCCATGGACTCCCAATTGTGGAGTCCCACAGGAGTCTATAAGCTCCCTGGTGTTATTTAATATCTATATGAGGCCATTGGGGGAGGTCATCAGGTGTTTTGGAGCTAATACTCATATCAATATGAGGAATACACCCAGCCCTATCTCTCCTTCCATCCTTCTGCAGTGGGTGCTGTCCCATCCCTTGAGCACTGCCTAGACACCGTGCTGGGGTTGATGATGGATAACAAACTGAGGCTGCACTTGGACAAGACGGAAATCTTGTGGGTGGCTGCCTCTAGTGTTTGTGGTCTCTGAGCTTTCCTCTCTTTTTTGGGGGAGGGCACTATTTCCGCAAAGAAGTTCACAGCTTGGTTGTACTCCTGGACCCAGCACTATCAATGGAATCTCAGTTAGCATCTGTGGTCCACTCTGCCAATTTCCATCTAAGGTGGACTGCCCAGTTGCATCCCAATCTTATTTATTTATTTATTTATTTATTTATTTATTTATTTATTTATTTATTTATTTATTTATTTATTTATTTATTTGCTTGTTTATTTATTTATTTATTTATTTGTTTGTTTAAACTTATATGCCACCGACACTACCCAAAGGTCTCTGGGTGGCTTACAACAATTTAAATGCAATAAAAAGATAAAACAATTAAAATACAATTTAAAACACAGTTCAGTGGAGCCCCGCATAGCGACGATAATCCATTCCAGGAAAATCGTCGCTATCTGGAATCATCGCTATATGGAACGAAAAACCCCATAGGAGCGCATTAAACCCCGTTTAATGAGTTCCTATGGGGGGAAAACTCGCTGCTATGCGGAAATCCTCCATCCAGCCACCATTTTCGCCGCTTGGTATGTGAGGAAACCACGTGAAAACACTGTGGGCAGCCATTTTGTTTACCCGGTGGCCATTTTGGAATCGCCGATCAGCTGTTTTCTAAACATTGCAATGCGATAGTCGGTAAGCGAAACGCTTACCGATCATCGCAATGCGATTTTTAGCCATTAAAACCATCGCAATGCGATCGTTTTTGCGATCGCACAATCCACATTGCTATGCGGATTCATCATTAAATGGGGCGCTCGCTATGCGGGGGACCACTGTACTCTAAATAGGGACGTGGTGGCGCTGTGGGTTAAACCGCAGAAGCCTCTGTGCTGCAAGGTCAGAAGACCGGCAGTCGTAAGATTAAATCCATGCAAAGGAGTGAGCTCCTGTCACTTGTTCCAGCTCCTGCCAACCTAGCAGTTTGAAAACATGTGGGCCCTGATGGCAATTTTAATTTTATTTTAATCATTTTATCTTTTATTGTATTTTAATTGAATTTTAAGTGTTGTAAGCCGCCCAGAGACCTTTGGGTAGAGTGGTTTGAAAGCATGTAAATGCAAGTAGATATGAAGGTACCACCTCAGTGGGAAAGTAATGGCATTCCGTGTCTAGTCGCGCTGGCCACGTGGGCATGGAAACTGTCTTTGGACAAACGCTGGCTCTATGGCTTGGAAATGGAAATGAGCACCGAGCCGAGTTGGACACAACTGGACTAAATGTCAAGAGGAAATTTTACCTTACTCTAAAAATTGCCATCAGGACCCAGTTATTATCATCTTGACATTTGGTCCCTCATCACACTGGTTCATGAACTGGTAGTCTTGAGATTAGACTACTGTAATGCTCTCTACGTGGGGCTGCCCATGGCACTGTTACGGAAACTTCAGCAGGTTCAGAGCTTGGTGGCCAGATTATTAAGTGGGTAAAGGAGACATCAACACATTTCCCTCACTCTGGCCGCCCTGCACTGGTTACATGTCTGCTACTGTGCCAACTTCAAGATGATGGTATTAACCTTGTATAAGGCCCTAAATGGTTTAGAACCCCGATATCTCGCAAAACACCTCTTTCTGACTAGATCTGCCCATCCTGTAAGATCTTCTCAGGCCAGGTGGTTGAGAGTTTTGACCCCAAGAGAGGCCCAGAAAATAACAAGCAGAATTTGGGCTTTCTCGGCATTCACTCTGCAACTTTGGAATAGTTTCCCCCCAAAAAATTTGCTTGGACCCCCTTCACTGGGAACTTTCAAAAGATTACTAAAAACATGGCTGTTTAGACAAGCCTTCCCGGACTCTAGAACATCTTAATACAGTGGTGCTTTTAATAACTATATATTCAACCCTTCACCACGCCTTTATTATTTTAATTATTTTATTTTTGTTACTGTGCATTGTGTTTTAAGTTGTTAATTGGTTACTCTTGTACAGTATTGTTGTTTTATAATGATCATATTTGTAAATCGCCCAGAGTGGCCTTGATGGGTGGTATAAAAATCAATCAAACAAACGAACAAAACAAACAATTAAACAAACCTGCTGAGGTCAGTAAAATTATTTCCCAATTTGCTGGGGGGGGGGAGAAGTTGTTTGCAAAATTACCCCACTATGGAGGAGTATACACAGTAAGTCAAAACAATAACAACACATGGTTATTTTCAATTACTTAGTAATTCAAAGAGTTCCCTGGTTTCTGGAGTGTATTTAATACCTGGTCATTCAGAGGTATTCCTTCTGCCATTTTCTTTCTATTCTCCTTTGGATGATAGTCGTCACCATCATAGAATTTCCATCCTAGCTAAATAGGAATAATAATGACAGGTTATTTAAAGTTGTAATAACATTAAATGATTACAGCAAATACACATCATCATCATTATACAGCTGCAGAGCTGGAATGCACCCTATGGATCATCGAGTCCAGCCCCTGTCAAGGAGGCACAGTGGGGAATCGAACTCCAAACCTCTGGCTCCACAGCTATATATCTAAACCACTGAACTATGGGATCCCAGCATAAAAAAATATTCACAATTTATACAGTTCCTGTAAATCAAGTTCTGCAACTAGGTGGAAGAAATGGCATCTGATGGAGATTTTTGTTCTATTTTTAAAAACATCAGCACTTCATTTTATTTACCATTTTTTGACTCAGGTGAAATAAACTATAATATTCAAATTTGGGAGGGAAAACCAACCATACAATGGAAAGTTAGCTTCAGCTGCTGCTCCTGCACAACAGCAGCAAATCATCCAAAGACTGGGACAGTGTGGGTGAATGGTTTGGCACTGACACACCCCTAAAATCTCACACAAAAGCAAGTAGAACAATCGTACCAGTGATTCCACTGAGCTGTAGCCTGCAGCTATTGAGGTACATAGCCTCAACACATACTTGTAGAAATTACACTACAGAAAAGCAATACAAAGAATAAATATGCCATACCTTATCTGCTAGTTGTGAGCCCACAGTAGATCTGTAAAATAACATATATAAATTATCTTGGGATTTAAAAAATGACAGAAGCAAAAGCTCGAGGTTAAAAAGGTCGTAGAACAAATATACTAAAGTAACTTCCATACTATATTCTGTTACCTTGTCTGCAACCGCCAAAACAAAATTATGTACATGGTTGGCTGTGCTCTTATGCAGAGCTGAAAAGCTGGCAATGAGGAGACATGACAGTGTAATGGTAACAGAAACACAGGTGCAGTTAAAGTGCTGAAAATATTTCCAGTTCAAAAATGAAGAGTTTTAAAGTATCCAAATAGGAGCATTGTCCAAAGACCCTAATGAATGATCCTTCACATCACAATTCCACAAAGAAAAAGGCATGACTAATCATGTTTGTGGTTAACAGGCTTAGGTGCACCTGACTCTGTAGAGGAGAGGCTGTTAGGAGTGCTCTGTTTTATTTAATACAACCCAAAAACATTGCTGTGTAGTTGGGTAGGGATAGCCATGGAAGTTTTGTTAACATGCATCTCTCCTGTGTGCAAAATGTAGATTCATCACAAGCCGGTACTGTTTGTCCTATGACAAAATTGCCATAGACAGCATTGTCAATTACCTCCTTTACTGTGAACTGTACAGCCAGCAAAAGGGGTAAATTTCTGTCAGCCTCTGACAATTCATAGCCTGAACAATATGGAAATATAGTGAAGGTTTACTATATTATGCTAAATCAGCAATATATAGAATCCCCCCTTTTTGCCACAGTGGGGGAGAAATCTAGACAAAAAGAGAGAACATTTGCCATGTTTGCTGGGATTTCTCTATCTAATATGCTGAGCTAGATATACACATGTGCTACCAATCTTACTTTCGAACGGTGAAATCTTGTTCTAGGCTTACGTATGTGAATGGCCATCTTTTCTGACAACTGGTGGTTTTGAACAGGACTGATCTGAAACATTTTGCTTCCTGAAGTGAAGGACAAGATGGCTCTCTTTTCTGATTCTATGTACAGAAGCTGACTGACAGCAGTTCGGTGTAACATTGGCCATGGGGGGCTCCTCCAACCTGTAAGAGGCTTCCAGATACTTCTGGGAGTCTGAGACAAAACTGTGTGGCAGACGTGAACAGCTGTGAAGTCTAGCAGGTGCAGCAGGGAGGCTGCCATGGCTACTTCCTAGAATCTGGTTCCTGAGGAGACTGCCTCATTCCGTTACAGCTGGTCCCGGTTCTGAACACCAAGAACCGTTGCCCAGGACGGGTGCATCCCTCCTTCAAATTATTTCCGTGTCTTTCAAGAAAGCATTCCCTTCAGATCTTCACAATCAGGGTACTACAGGAAATTGCTACAACATTCTGTCAACTTCCAGTACTAAATATGTATGATGCAAATCCTGGTTTCTCACAAATATATACATTCCCCCCCCCCCGCTTCCTGCATCCCTGCTCTTTTTCCAGTCCTTTAAGAAGTACTTGACTAACCAGCCCTGCTTTGAAGCAATCCCAGAGGAAACAGCAATTGCTCACATTTAGTGAATAGTTTTATTTTCTAGGACTGGCTGCTTGCTGGTCAGTGCTATATAGGGAATTATTTACATTCAGTGAATAATCCCTATATAACACTGATGTTAATGTGCAATTTGAAGAGTACAATTACAGCAAGGAAGCCGATTGAAAAAGATATACAGTACTGTCTCCTCTGAAGTAACATTTCGTAACACAATATGGGATACGTTTTGACATACCTGTGTGGGTGTTTAGAACGCACCCACAAGGGTTTGTTCATGTAGCATGGAATTAACTTTTCACATCAGAACATCCCTAACCATACTGGGAGGTAAAGGAAAGCTACTTTAATTGCACATGTCAAAAAATATGCAGGTGCATGAATTCATTTGGTAGCATCTGCACGCCCCACTTAGTAATGACTACTCTACAAATAAAATGTTTTTCAGCCTCTTCTAAAGATCTATTTGCTGATTTGGGTTGTGATGTTGCCAAATATTAACATCAATCATGTGTTTTGTCATGTGTGCTAAGCAAACCTGCAGGAACACCCAGCTTCCACTTATACATCTATTAACTTCATCCATTCATTAACTCATTAAAACATTCCAGTGTCTAAAAATGCAGGTGATATTTATAAAGGCGTGAATGGAAGGCACATGAGTGCATTTGGTTAAATAACATGGTTCTCCCACTGTTTGCTGCTTCTGGTGGGGGTTATTTTTGAGCTCCCTGGGTGTGAGAAAAGCTTGGAACTATCAGGTGCTCTTGGGCCAGCATTGGGGACCTAGTTCTGGTTTCACCTGTAACACTGTTGTCACCAGCAGTGCTGTGATCTTTGCCACAACATGGTGTTCCATTCAAGAGCAATTCCATGATTGAGGCATGGCACTGAAGTTCAGAACTTAAGTACATAAAGTATCAGAGGTCTTTCATTAAGGTCTTCATGTTATATATTTTGAATACAATGTCATACACACATTACTTATCATTGTAAAATAGCATATTCCACACTACCATACACATATTACTTATCATTGTAAAAGAACATACTCCACACTCCATTTTTTACCAATTTTTCTGGAAAAAAAGAAAAGAAAAAGGCTTTGGGAAAAAAACGGGGTCCCCCGCCCCATTTTCCCAGGCCTTGCCATCTCTACATTGAACAAAGAAAAGGTTTATCTGATTTCTTCAGACAGAAGCTTCATATTAAAAAAATATGAAGTTTTCATACAGAAAAAAATGAAGCAATGGATCTGTTGTAGTTGATCTTCTACACATACAAATCTGGAGGCCTCTTGTATAACAACAATGTGCCAACAAGTCAATTTTGTGCTTGGTTGAGGACAACTGACACTCCCACAAATGCTCCTATATTTTGTTTCTCCCCACCTTAAACTAAGAAGCTGGGAGAGCCAGCTTCTGATAAAACATTGCATCAGCTCAAGTCATCAACTGATACGAATGCATTCAGTTCTAATAAAAAGTAGAAACCCAAGGGCTGGAGGGAAAAAGAACGGGGTGGTGGTTTCCAGGTCGGTTCACATTGACTTGTAGAGTCACATACTCAATGGAAATGATACAAATCACACCATTCCAGTCCTAGAGCATTACCTGCATTGGTTATTAATATGGCTGCACCTTCACCGAGAAAACCATCCAGATGATCAAAAATATGAGGCAAATTTATGAAAATAGCAGTTTGCTGGAAACTGCTGCTATAGTGCTGTTCCCATAATAATCAGCATTAAAACACACTTGTAGTGCTTATTATTGTGGAAACAATACAATAGCAGTTCCCAGCAAGCTTTCTAATCATTGCCACTTAGGTGGGTTTGCCCCGTCTTTGCGATCAGAAGCCCTGTTCACAAATGTCCCCCTTCTTTTGAAGCACAGGACCAGGCCTTTTTGCTGTAATGTTGCCAGGACAATGGAACACACTGTCATGTGAAGTACTTCTACATTTTGGCAGGGCACCAAAATGTTTGGGGAACAAATATTTTTATTTTCCAATAAGCTTCTGAAGTTTGTTTTATTGCTTCTGTTCTATGTGAATTGTATAATTTTAATTTTCTCTTAGACATTTTTATTTCTTTTGTCACCTTGTGTAAAGGAAAACCAAATCCCAAAGATGGGAAGTTCCAGTAGTAACAGCAATTAAAATTTCACACAAGGATGCAGACTTTCAAGTTTTTCAATCTGAATTTGTGAGACTGTAGTGTGCCCTAGGAAAGACATTATCCAACTGTGGATTTTGGTTTTGATTTGTTTTCATGGACCAACATAACTACCTATGTTGACTTTTGTGTATCTTTTTCTTTTCTTTTTTTAAAAAGCATCATTTAAGACAGATAAGAAATACAGAAACAAGAAAATGGGAACATGGCGTGAGCACATACAGAAGTTTTCTGTTCTAGGGAAGCTGCTGCCCTAGTCATTATTTCCTGTGCTTGTTCCTTGCTATTACAGTGGGGTCTTGACTTGAGAACTTAATCCGTATTAGAAGGCGGTTCTCAAGTCAAAAAGTTCTCAAGTCAAATCTGCATTTCCCATAGGAATGCATTGAAAACCATTTGATCCGTATCTGCTCTTTTCCGTCCATAGAAACTAATGGGAAGCTGCTATTCCGCCTTCGACCACTAGAGGGGGATATTTTGTTTCTTTTTTTCTTAGGTCAAGAAAAGTTCTGGGAAGGCAGGGAAAATACAGTCCAGGCAGTACAGTACCAGGCAGTCTGAAGGCTGTCTCCCAATCCACTCTCTAAACGCTGGGAGGAGTGAGGAAGCAGACAGGCACCCTTTTCACTGGCCAACAGTTAACTGAAAGTTCAAATTTTGCACTTTCCCTGCCTCCCACGTGTTTTTTTTCAGTTCTTAATTCAAATCTAAGTACTTAAGTCAAGTCAATATTTTCCTATGAGAGTGGTTCTTAAGTCAAAATGTTCTTAACTCAAGCCGTTCTTAAGTCAAGACCCCACTGTATGTCTGTATCTACATCTACTGCAGTGGCACAGCTATTATCTGTGGCTGAATTCAGTTCTAGGTTTAATTTTTGTTGGCTGGCCTCTGGGAGATGGGACACAACACTGTATGACAGTCTTCAAACAGCCATAGTTTGATATAAATTCTTGTGCACCATTTCTGAATTGGCACTCTGTTCACTTTGACGAACAGTAACCAAGTAGGTTGTTTAACGGCAAGGGAAGAATCTTATACAGTGGTGCCTCAACTTAAAAATGTCCTGACTTACAACCATTTCAAGTTACGACCAGCTCCGGCTGCAAAGTTTTGCTTTGACTTGCGGCCGGAGCTTGCAGTTACGAACAGAAAAAGGCAGAGAAAAAAGGCGGGGAATTCAAATTGCTAAGCGTTGGTAGGTGAAGAGGCTGCTTCTTTGTAGCTCTTTTGCCCCAGCGATTAGAGGGAGTGCAATCGGGGGAGGCTTCGGACTGCCTGGTAAGGTAAGGTGCTGCTTTCTGCTTTTAAAAAACTGTTCTGGGTGGGTTTTGCAGTGTGGTTTTGGGCTTGGGGGCATTATGTTTCTGTGCTGTGATGGGTCTTGGGGAGTTTGTTTTCCCCCCCATTTCCGATGGGTCTTGGGGGGTTTGCTTGCTTTTTGGAGTTTCCCCCCATTTCTGATGGGTCCTGGGGGAATTTGTCTGTTTTTTGTGTTTTCCCCCCATTTCCAATGGGACTTGCACGTTTGGCTTGCTTTCTGCTTTGCTTTTTCTGCATTTCCGATGGGTCTTGCACACTTGGCTTGCTTTCTGCTTTGCTTTTCCCCCCATTTCTGATGGGTTTTGCATGCTTGGATTGCTTTTCTTTTCCCCCTTCAGCCAGAACGGATTAATCGTGTTTCCGATCGGTCTTGCAGTGTGTGTTTTGTTGTTGTTTGGTGATTTTTTTCTTCAGCAGGAACAGATTAATTGCATTTCAATGTATTTCAATGGGAAATGGTACTTCGATTTATGACCATTTCGAGTTATGACCATCTTCCGGAATGGATTAAGTTCGTAAATTGAGGCACCCCTGTATAATTCTTGCTACTTTGTGGATATTAAGACTATTCTCATACTTTGGCCACATCATGGGAAGGAAAGATTTACTGGAAAGGATAACAATGCTGGGAAAGGTGGAAGGCAGCAGGAAAAGAGGAAGCCCAAATACAAGATGGATTGACTCCCTAAAGGAACCACAGGCTTGAGTTTGCAAAGCTAAGCAGGACTGTTGAAGACAAGACAGTTTGGAGACTGCTCAGTCATAGGGTCACCATTAATTGGAGGTGACTTGATGGCATATAAAAACAAGTGATATGATTACTAAGAATGTTATAATCAACATGGAGGGAGACATGAGTGAGAAAAAATGGAGGAAGAGCCTAAGATTTATTTCCCCACTATTCATTTCATCCAAACCCAAGGTTTTGTGTAAAGCACAAACATTTTAAGGCTCTGGAACTAGGATTTCAAACTGGTATTGTATATAATTGGTGAAGTAGAATGGAGACGGATCTACTTTTCCGGCAAATAATCCCATATGGAAGCCCTTCTGGCACTGTGTGAACATTGTTTTTCAGAGGGAGAGAGATATTGTCAAGGTTTGAAACGTTGTTTGTATAGATTGTTAAAATAATTAAGGAAGGTATGTTAAAATAAGTAGAGTGGATACAGATTATTTATGTTATTGGCCTTTGTTTCTTCAGACCCTGCAAAAATTTTCATCATAACAATGATGTTACAAAAGGTACAGGAACAATATAATTTCCTACTGGCAAACTGTTCTTGGATCTGCAAGCTTTTGGACCGCCTAGCCCTCGAAGATATTATTTACAGATTGGGGAGAAGTGTAAACAATTGAAAGAATTATAAACACAGGGAATGACACATACATGAGCATTCAGGAATTCATCACATCATTGTAACTACACAACACTTTGCACACCAGATATTAAAAAAAAATGTAGCAATATAGCAGCTTTATTTCCAAAAGCCAGCAACACATGGATTTTCATTCATAAATTCAATCTGGTTTGGCTGGGTGAGCATTTAAACATTTGTGTGTATTCTTAATAAGTTTAGAGGTTAAGAACGTTATTTTCTTTTAATAACTTTGATATTCTGGTATTCTTACTTTTAAGAATTTTGATATTTTGGAGAAATACAGTACAGTATTCTATTTTTTAAATGTGCCTTTTTGCACTGTAAACCTTTGCATTTTTACAATATAAACTCCTGTAATTTTGAAACATAATTAGAAGACATCTGCTGAAAACTTTTGTTTTTTAATGTACTTTCATTTGCAAGTTTTCATAATTGTAAGAATTCTGGATAGCAACCACACCTGTAGTATCGTAAGTTGTAAGAATGTATTTTTAAGCATCTGTGCCTACAGTTTTCTTCATAGCTGTAAGCATTCTGTATTTCTACGATACAGTACTCTGAAGTATTTTGTTTTTATGTAACACAGAAGCAATGTAGATAAATAAAGCTTGCAGAATTAGAAAAGCATATGTTGCCTGGCACCCTTGCAACAGTGAAAAGATTTATACCATGATACTCAAGATGAATTTGGATGATTGTCAATGACTGGTTTCATTTTGAAATTGACCCTTTTGGGGATAAATGCCAGCTGTGACAAACACAGGTTTCTGTTATTTCCTTGGAAGTCTATAAAGTTCAGTAATTCCCTTTATCTATTGTTTTGTGTTAATGTAAGAAACCGTAACTTTATATTGTTGTTAATTGTTAATTTATTATGTGTTTGCGAGCCGCCCAGAGTAACTATGTCTAAATGGGCGGCATATGAGCTCAATAAATAAATAAATAAATAAATACTGTAAATAAATATGGCTCTTAGGAACACCTTCAAGGGTTAGAATCCCTGATCTAACATTCTAATTAAAATCTATACAAAACTGGTTTCCAATTATTTAATTGGTCAGTCTATTCAAATAGGTTTTAAATGGAATATTTTCTCTCATCGATTACAAAAAACAAAAACAAAAAAAAAGGAGGGAAGGAGATATTTTGATCCACTTGCAAACACGGAATCGTCACGTGATTCTTAAGTTATTTCGCTAGTGACAATTTCCTTCCAGGCATGAACACAGGCGGCGGGGGGGGGGTCGAACCTTATGTCAGTGTGCCCGAAAGCCGCACCCATGTTTCTGCCGCGGGGTTTCCCTTGCGCTGCCCTGTGCAGATCCCCCCAATACGTGTGAACCCAGCTGCGCGTGACAAGTGTCCGATTTTTTCTACACACTTCCCCCCCCCCCCA